AGGGAGCCGCATTTGCCGAGGATGAAGGCGGAATCGGCCGCCTGAAGAGAGGAATACAGAAGGGGTTCAATTAGTAGGATGCTGGGGCCCAGCGTGGGGGCCTGTGATTGTGAGAACTATAGATGCCATCAGCGAGGCTTGGGGCAGGAAATGGGCAGCTTCCCACTTAATTACATCATTGAACTAATTAATTCCAACAAGGTGTGGTGGGTGAGAAAGCGGGCAGTTAGCCCAGAAACAGGTGGGTAGGCCACACTGAGATCGGCCCTGAGAAGTCCCCCTGTTACAGAAGGTGACAATAAAAGACAAATAACTTAAACACAGAATAAAATATTTAAAAATAAAATGTAACAAAACAAACTGCCCACAAAATGCCCTCAACTTCATAATTATGGTAACCAAACCTCCCACCCACTGACTGCAGTTCCCCCAAGAAGGCAGCCTCCCTTTCATGTGCCCTCTCCTGCCCCACCCAACCTTGCATCCTATCTCTGTAAATGAAAACAAAAATACTTTCCTCCAGGTTCCCTCGCATTTCTACCCACTCCCCCTCCCTGCCTCACACCCACGACATCCCCTTCCCTCTTTCCTAACAACCCACCAACCCATATTTCCCTCTCTCACAGGCTGTTCCCAAAATCCCACCCCTCCTACCCTTCCCCCAAAAGAAACACGTTATTTAATTTAAACAGTTATAATGAGAAATACAATTAAACACCCTGTTCCCACTGAAGGGAGTACCAAAGCATCACAGCATTTGAGGTAGTTCCCATTCTAAATGTAATGAATACAAAAATTAAGATGAATACCCTCATGTATTATATACATATTTTTATGAGAATGTTTTACATATCAAAGCACAAGCAATAAGACATAATACAATATTACTTGTACATAAGTAGAAATCTATACATGCACATTCAGGAATATATTAAAAATGAAAGATGAAAAATGATTGTCTCCATAGCCATGACATTCTTCTCTTCACACCTCTACTGGGAGCTACCTTAAAGGAGTATGTCTATATTAATTCTTCTCTACCCTGGAGTATTCATACATATAGAGGGCTAGGCATGTGATTCACTCTGCCCTGCACTCTATTCCATTAATTTATCACTGTGAGTCCATCATTTCCGTTAAAGTACTATATATGTTTTTAACTTGAATAAAAAGGTGAATTAGGAGAACTATAGTATATTTGCTAAATATGCAAATACAGGCCCTGATACCTGTACCAGTAAAGAGAAGCATATGAATAAAGTAAATAAAGAAAATAAATCTTTGCGGTAGTAGGGCAACTGCAGATAAATTCAATTCTTAGTTAATCTTTTAAAATTGCAGTATACAGAACATTTCTATAGAAAATAAATCCATATTAAAAAACGAAGTCTCATTGCACATGCCTTGGGACTGTCCCTGTGATGTACTGGTATTTGCAAGTGGATATTTCTACAGCAAAGCTGAAAGCAGCTGGAAGGGAAAAGAAGGGAGAGTTCACACTCATGACTGCTGGGGCCCAGTTTCCAAACCACATCCGGTCTAACTCAAATGAGTTCCTTGGCAGTCACCACTTACCCAATTTCTACTGTTCTGTCTAGTGGTAAGGGTGGGGGAAAGAAGAGGGAATCTGTCAAGCAAAAGTGGCAAATTGCAAAGGATTCCATATGGACAAAGGCTTTGCCATCTGACTTTCTGAGGGCGATGAAGACTGAGCTGTGGCACCCTATTTTGGTTCATAGGGTCATAGATGTAGGGTCAGAAGGGACCTGAGCAGATCATCAAGTCTGACCCCCTGCCCTGGGCAGGAACGAATAGTGGGCTTACATGACCCCTGGTAAATTTAAGCTCGTATGACCCCAGCTAGGTAATAATCTAGCCTCCTTTTAAAGACCCCTAAGGTAGGAGCCAGCACCACTTCCTTAGGAAGCTAGTTCCAGATCCTAGCCGCCCTGACTGTGAAGTAGTGCCTCCTGATGTCTAGCCTGAACCTGCTCCCAATCAACTTGTGGCCTTTATTCCTTGTTACTCCAGGAGGTGCTCGGGGGAACAGGGTCTCACGCATTTCCCTCTGGTCCCTCCTGGTAAGTTTATAGACAGCCACTAGATCGCCCCTCAGCCTTCTTTTGTGAAGCCTGAACAGGTTCAGGTCCCATAGCCTCTCCTCGTAGGGTCTGCCCTGCCGCCCCCCGATCATGCAAGTGACCCTCCTCTGGACCCTCTCAATGCTGTCCATATCCCTCCTGAAGTGCAGCTCCCAGAACTGGACGCAGTACTCCAACTGCAGCCTGACCAATGTCGCACAGAGGGGGAGGATCACCTCTTTGGACCTGCTCATGCTGCATCTGTGGATATATGACAAGGTGTGGTTAGCCTTACTGACCGCATCCTCACACTGGTGGCCCATGTTCATTTTAGAATCGACAATGACTCCAAGATTCCTTTCTGTCACTGTGCTTTCAAGAAGGGAGTTCCCCAGCCTATAGGTATGCTGCTGGTTATTTCTGCCCAAGTGCAGTGCCCTGCACTTGTCAGTATTGAATCCCATCCTATTCACATTTGCCCACCCCTGTAACCTGTCCAGGTCCAGGTGTATCCTGTCCATCCCTTCTAGCCTGCCCACTTTGCCCCAAATCTTGGTGTCATCAGCAAATTTGAACAAGGTGCTTTTCACCCTCTTGTCCAAGTCGCTAATAAAGAGATTGAACATTGTGGGCCCGAGGACCGAGCCCTGGGGGATTCCACTGCCCACATCCCTCCAGGTCGATTGTGACCCAGCCACCACCACTCTGTGGGTGCGGCCCCTCAGCCAATTTGTGACCCATCTGACTGTGTAGGCATCAATGCCACACTCGCCTAGCTTTTTAATGAGAATGGGGTGGGAGACAGTTTCAAAGGCCTTCCTGAAGTCCAGAAAGACTACATCCACCGCGACACCTGCATCCAATGATTTTGTGACCTGATCATAGAAGGCAATCAGGTTGGTCTGATGGGACCTGCCCCTAATGAACCCATGCTGGTTGCCCATGAGCATCATCCTCCCTGCTGGTCCCTCTCAGATGTGCTCCTGGATAATTTTCTCAAAGAGCTTCCCCAGGATCAAAGTAAGACTAACGGGCCTGTAGTTGCCTGGGTCCTCCCACCTTTTTCTGAAAATGGGGACCACATTGGTCTTCTTCCAATCTTCTGGCATCTGGCCAGAGCACCATGAGTGCTTGTAAAGCTGTGCCAGGGGCCCTGCGATAACCCCTGCCAATTCCCTCAGCACCCAGGGGTGGAGAGCATCTGAACCTGCTGATTTGAACACATCCAGCCCCTCCAGAAGTTCCCTAACTCGGTCCTCCCTGACCCCAGGCCTGATGGAGTCTCTCCAGAGTCCATCCTGAATCCTGGTATGGAGGCAAAGAATTTGTTTAAAAGGTCTGCTTTTTCATCTGGTGCAACTACCAGATTGCCAAGCATATCCTGGTGTTTCCTTCTCCAGTATTTACACATGATCAAAATCTAGAATTATAGAAAAGCAGGGCTGGAAAGGACCTCTCAAGGTCATCTAATCTGCCCTTCCCTTCCCCTCCCCCAGGATCACCCCTAACCAAGCAGCCTGTACAAACCCAAATCTAACGTGCTACAGAGGGAGGCAGAACTGCACCCCCCCCCCCCAATCTGTATCAATCTAACTATGGGCTAAAATTCCTTCCTGACCCCCAGGTTGGTGACTGGTCTGACCTTAACCAGAAGTGCAAGACCCTCTAGCCAGGCCTATTTGAAGCACAAAAAGAGCCTGGGCATGTGCCCACACAAGAATAGTTAGTCCCACCTGTTGTTAGGGGGAGCACCAGGTGTGTGCCAACTTTGTTCCGGGGTCAACTTAAAAGAATAACAGATGGGAGTGGGGGGCAAAGGTTGATAAGTACTCCAAGAGGGACACCGAGCAGAGCACATTGGCTAGCACCCACTGGAATGAGCGCAAGGAGCCAGTGGATACTGCCCAGCAAAACTCTGCCCCGAGATGGGACCAGATGAGAGGCCCTGCAGCATCTGGGGGCATGAACGCCTCGTGCCTCCTGAGGCTGGAGGGGCAGTGACCACCCACAGGCAGCAGCGCCGGTGGCGGGGCCTTCGCGGTGGTGAACACAGACCACCTGCAGGCAGCCACGCTGATGATGCAAGCAAGGGGGGGCTGATCAGGGACCGCCCGCAGGTGGCCGCAGCGGTGTTGGTGGCAAGTGCCAACTCGCTGTTGGTGACCGCCCCTAGATGCCACCGGCAGTGTCGCTGGCAAGGGAGGGTTGTGATGAGCAGCAACTGCCCACAGGCTCAGCCAGCACTGTTGGTGGCTGCCATACTCGGGGGGTGCATGTGCACCCCCTATGTGTCGCCAGTGACTGGGGGTCCTCTGGGCCAGGGCCTCCTTCCTAGTCAGGTAACTGGCAGCTGGGCCAGGGCCGGAAGGAGGTTGACCAGGAGGTCCCAGGATTTGGTAGGGCCACGGCTTCGGAGGCCGTCAACAAAAAGGTGCAGGGAGTCGCCTCAGCAGGTGGTTGTGGTGAAGGCAGTGAAGGGGGCACAGCCTGGCGCACTCCAGGCAGGCGTGCGCCAGGGCAGATGTGGGGGTACCCACAAACC